TTTTAAAAATGTTTATTAAAATGCGAGAAATACATTTGAGAAGATGAGAACCAATTAGAAAATATCACTAGGATCGATGACATGGCAGTTTTGGAGAAGTACCCTTAGCTAATCTCATCCGTTCACTCTTTCAATACCCTAAATAGATCAATCATGTCCGTCCACCAGAGATCCTCATCTCGTTAACACAAACTAGATCTTCTTTTTTGCCCTTTTTTCGAGAAAGGGAACGATTCCGGAGGAGACAGAGTATTGAGGAAATCCAACAGTCAAAGCGTGAAGCAGAGAATCGTGATAAACAAAGAAGACGGAAGCTGTAGAACTAATAGCATCCAAGAGCGACGATGAACGAGAATCCGCCTTGGCTGAACGGTGGGAAATCCAACGGAAACTTTCTAATGGCGAGGAGACGGAGTACTGTGGCCATTCGCTCTTTATTCTTCAGTAGCCTTGTTCGATGGTAACTCCTTAGCTTTCTTTTTTTTAATCAAAATAAGTTAACAGATTTAATTTTGAGGGTTTTACGAGATCAATTCTGTGCTTTTCGATTTTTTAAATCTATTGGTTCAAGTCTATGGTTTTAAGAATCCAAGGCCAAAATCTTAGCTTTCATGGTTGGTGAAGTTTAACATTAGTCTTTTTTTAGTTTTGGATGTTTAGTAAACACGTTTTGCCATGAGATCTGAGGATTAGATTGTAGGAGAAATATTTCCACACTGAAATTTGATGAATCTATTGTCCCTGAATGATTTTTTTGTTTCTTTTATCTGAATTCTTTTGGTTTTTGTTTCGTTTATTCAAGTTCTGGTCAAGTTTCTTGATTTAAGACTTTTCACAGATTTTGCCCTTCCGATGTTATGTATCCTAAAATTCCCGAGGAGGATGCTATATGAATAGCTAACGACACAATTTCAGGTTTGTCCTCATCTTATCGTAGTAAAAGTTTCCAGTGTGTCGACTACATCATAAAGGAGATATGTTGTGCGTTTGTGTTCAGGACTTGCTGCTTATATATTCACAAACAATGTCCAAGGATCTTGGCATGACTTTGAAGCTCTTGAATATGGATTTGTATCAACAGAGAAGGACTCATATCAGCAGAGGCTATACAATGAATCGAAAAAGCCACATTTGTTCAAATTTTTACCATACATTTGTGTACATGTTTTTTTTTTAGTCCTCTTCTAAATGTTGTACTTACTATCTTTGCAATATAGTATTTTGTACCATGGTTTCTTATTAATAATATATGGAATTTCATTTTCAAATATGTCATTTCTCTCAAAAATAAAATCTTGCAAAAATACATTGTTAAAACAGAAATCATAAACTATTGAAAAAAGTACATAAATTATTACACATATCAAATATCAAATGCTATAGTCAATATTAAAGAA